ATGTGCCATCAATCAACTGAGACTAATACCACATTCCCTGAACATTTCCAAGAACATAGTCCAGAAGACATAGCTATTCTGTACCAACAAGCCTTAAAAGAGATAGAAAATCTAAAGGAACAGTGCAATACTCTGCAAAACTTAAAAACTGAATGCAGCAAATGTACTAATGGTGACAGTAAAAGTGAGGTGGATGAAATTGCTGTGCAACTTGATGATGTCTTCAGACAACTAGATAAATGCAGTATTGAGAGGGACCAATACAAAAATGAGGTATGCACATTAAAACAGTTCATGGTAGGGTAATGTCAGTTTTTTTTGGGTGGGGGGGGAGAAGTGCGGGGGAGGTTGTTTTGCTTTGTTTTTAAAGGTTATACACAAAAGCCTCCATCGTTCACTGAGTTTGCCCAAGGATCTCTGTAGCCATCAGTGAGTCACCAAGTGAGCAAAGACCAGTACTCTGGAGTACACTGTATACCATTGGAAGAAAATATTAGGAAATCAAGGTTAGGTTACCAGTGGTACAGTCAGATGAGATTATTTGGATTAGTGTATTAGCTGGTAGCCCCAAGATATGTGCAGGTATGCTGTAAATTGTTTATTTACATATCCAAACCTGTCTGCCCATACACGCATTATTTTTAGTATGTTCTTACTCCTGTGGGACTTCTAGTTATGCTAAGGCTCTGAGAGAGTGCTCAGAAAGAACAGGTGTTACAGACCTCTAAATGACTTGACAGGGGATGTAGAAAAAATAAGAACATAGTAACAAGGAGAGAGGTCCAAAAAGGGAGTGTTTAGGAGTAAAGTAAAAACTGAAGGGGCCAGGTATGAACTTGGCAAATGGACAAGTAAAATTGATATGTTAGCAAAGGGGCAGATAAATATCGGCATGAACAATTGGGTATAAATATAGGTGCTAGACAGTTTGGGGGTTTTTTGTTTGTTTTTGTAGCAGCCTAGGGGAGCATAGTTTATGCACAGTGTTTTCCTGGGCAATTCTACTGAGTTCACCTGATTACTGAACAGACCAGCTCATGTGCCGTGAAAATGACAACTGCTTGGAGGTTTTTGCCACCCAGCACTAATTTGAGTTATTCCTTCTCCATTGCACCTGCACTTCAGGAGGCCAGTTGCTGGTACTGGCCTCAGAGCGCAGAGACCCAAGCAGCTCGAACAGCTAGATTGACTGTGAGCAAGCGACCACCCAAACGAATGCATCAGAACAACAACTACTATGTTACAGTTCCTATTTTAATACTTCTCAAAATGTTAAATTTTAAAAATTGGCTCTAACATAGGAATTATGTTCATGATTTTATCACATAAAAGATAGGTTTAAGTGACACAACTAGTAAAGGAATTGGATAATTGAATTTGGATAGAAACTTACTTTACTGTTATCCATGTAGAAGTGGTTCCCTTACAAAGTAAGCTTGAAACATATAAGTAGAATATCACATAGGAGATTTCACAGTTTTGGAAATACATTACTTATGATAAGTATAAATACGTTTGCTGCCCTCTGTATTGTCAATTTGCCTTTTTTGCAAGTAGTAATTTTTTTAAAGTATATTCAGAATTAGGGTGGATTTTGTGTAATGTATTTAAGTGTTCTGTCAATTTTAGCTAATACGTTTTTGCACTTTGTCAGTGGTTCTCAGCCCACAGACCACATGCAGCCCAATCAGCACACTGCTACGGCCCACGTGACAACCTGTTAAAACATTTTTTAAACTGATACATAGGAAGTAAGTTGTGTGAACGTGGCCCACGTAATACATTGAGGGCTGCAAGTGTGGTCTACTATGGCAAATAGGTTGAGAACCACTGCACTATATCATGAAAGAGTAAATACATTCTGCTTTTTGCCTTAAGAAAAATGAACATTCGCTTCCTTTGTTTCCGCCAACTCTAGGAACAATAATAGTTTTCTTTCACTTCATGTAGTGTGCATAAAAATGACCAAGAAAACATTCTTTAATTGTTGCTCGATATTTCTTAGTCTTAAATAGCTAAAGTGGATGTCATCTTCCTGTTACTAGAATGTCAAATTTTACAAAGGTAAGAATCTTAACTATGAAACTTGGTCTGTGCTGAAAAGAGAAGTCTTTTTCTGTGAACAACAAAGTCAAACAAAAACATTAAGAAAGTAGCTTGTTTCATGGCTGCACCCAGTACCCCTTTCTCCTCTGTTTAATTTGTTTTAAGAATGCTAAAATACCTCAACCAGTTAGTATCCATAAGCTTGAAGCCAATTAAACTTGTCCTCCCTTCTAAATCAGATAGGTGCTTCTAAAGAATCACACCTTTAGGCTCCTAAAATTATATTTAGGCTACAAATGTTAGGTTCTTATTTTTTTAAATATTAGTGTATATGCATATTAAAGAAAAAAAAGGGTTAATATATTAAAAGTGAACTTCTCATTGTTACTACTGAAGTTGTGTTTTGAAATGAGAACATTTTATAACATTTTTAGTGGTATAAAAATTCAATTCTAAAAAACTTTCATATATGATTTAACCTCAAGCATGAGTTTGAGGAGTCTCTTTTGAAGAATATATGCGCATAATGTTTTATGTACCTGCTTGTTTGCTGACCCCAAGGCTTTTTCTTTTCTTGTTTTCCTTTCTTTGTCTATAGGAGTGTTGACAGTGTTATCAGTAGTAATATAACTTTTATAAAACAGATAATGGAGTTACTAAATGTAGATCTAAAATTGTAATGGCACAGATAACTAAAGAGTTTTTCAGTGTTTCAGTAAGCTACTTCTAGAAGTCAAGTGACTTTAAATCATTTCCTAATTCACCTTGATTTAAATTGCTGCATCTTGACTTTGGAGTCAAAAGTGATTATTTTGATTTTTGTGTTTCAGATTGAACTGCTGTCAATGGAGAAAACTCAAATAGCCTTTCAGTGTGAGGAGCTTAAAACAGAAATTGCACAATTAAAAGCTACAATTCCACAAGCGGTAGCACAAGCAGGTGATTCTACAACCAGTAATGTTGAAGATCAAGTAAATTACTCCGATGAAGAAAGGTATTAGTTGCCTATTTCAAGCCCGTTTCTGGTTTTCTCAGCCTCTCTGAATTTTTCACTGCTGCCCTCCTAACATTCATACTTCATCTCCTAAAATATTTTTTTTCAGATTAGTTGTTATCTAGGGTCCACATTAAAAGGATTAAAGCACCTGCATGCTGAGCTTATTGTCTAATTAATCCAAAAAAATGTTTGCAGCACAAATAAAATAGGTTTGATTAATAGTCACTGCTTTCATAGCATTAATGAAGAATTAACAGCATGCTTAATGTTTTGCAACAGGGAAAGGAGAGCATCAACCATTTTCTTGTAAGTTTTCTATCCAAAGGTATCTAAAGAAGTTTTGTTCATCTGTTTATGGATTACTTGTACTCTCTAGTGAATGTATCTTTTACATATTTTAGTTGACTACCTTCCATGGGCTGCATTTCAAGTGTGAGGTGTGAGCTACAGGTCTGATCTTGCTGCTTCCTCAGCTGTGGTAGCTCCTCCTTAAATCAGCAGTTGATTTGCTACCAGTGGCATCCAGTTTTTCTGCACTTGCATATATTTGGACAAGGGAGTGTATTTGTTTTGACAGAAGCCATCCACAGAACATGATAGATTATCAACTACAGGCAGTGCTAAAGGAAATGTTTCCAAGAAGAAAATACTCTAAAGAAAAGAAGGGGTACTTGATTCAGAAATAACTTGGGGGGGATGGGGGAGGTAGAAAGGCAAAGAGTGAAAAGACATACAAAAGGAATAACAAGAAAAGAAGAGGAATATAGAAGAAAGCAAAAAGGACACAGAAGGGTAAGGGTGAATAAAAAACAATTATAAAATAAAACAGAAAAGTACATCTAAAGCAGGGCTGTCCAACTAGTGGCCCCTGAAGCATTAGCATGTGGCCCATATGCTCCCAGCTGGCTGCTATTCCCCCTCCCCAGTTGCTCCTGCTGCTGCAGATGGAAAACAGCTGGACTGCCCAAGCAGTACAGCAAAAAAGGGAGCCTGCCCACTCTGAAAGTGGGTAATGCATGCAGCTGGAATGCGGCAGTGTTGAGCTGCATATGCAGTAGTGTAAGGGTGGGGAAGCCAGGCTGCCCAGGTCCCCACCTTTCCCAGCCACATGCAGCAACCCTCTCCCTGCCACAGCCCTGGGAGCTAGGCTGCCTCTTCTGTGGAGCTGTCCCTGATGCTTGCATGGCAAGGAGGGTGCTAGACGCCCACCAAACACCCAGCTGTGCTTGCCATAACCCCTTTCTTGACCATACATGGGGAGCTGTACTAAATGGGGAGGGAGGAGTGCTGCCCATGTGATATATGTGGGTGGGAGAGAGGGGGAGCTGGGCTGTCCAGCACCCTCCCTGCTGCATGAGTGACACAGGCAGCTCTGCAGTACAGGCAGCCCAGTGTGTCCCTGTCCCATTCACCTCTCCCAGCTGAGCATGCCACACATGCAGCAACCACTACACCTCTTGGCTGCACACACCATGTGGAAGGAGCCAGGCTGCCTGTACGTGGGGGGAGGGGGTGCTGGGCTGTGTGCCCGATGGGGGCACACTGGGCAGTCCATGTGGTACATGTTATTAGGAGATGGAAGGCACTAGGCAGCCCATGCACCAAGGAATACCCAGGGCTGAGCCTGTGTGGTCTGTGACCCATGTGGCTCCAGGTTGCCCTCATCTAAAGCATATAGATTCATGTCTTTACATTCACTCCTGCTTTTAATTTCAGGCCAGGCTGTCCAACTGGTAGCCCATGGGCCAAATGCACCCTGAGTAGTTAATCTGCTGCCACCCAGTTGCTGCTCCCCCTATTGCTTGAGCTGCACTAGCAGTCAGGGACTCCAGGCTGCCCTTCTCTCCTACGACCTCTGCTTTCTGTGCCCGCCCCAGAGGGCAGGAGGCACAAAATGTCACAAAGCTGGATAGAGCCACACATGGCTGCCCAGGAGCCCTTGGCTCCCAGTATTGCAGCTGGCATGGGATACAGCCCCCATCCAGTTACAGGTTGAACAGCTCTTCTTTGAGGTACTTTTGGAACTAAGTAAACCTTTCTCCTCCTAACTGCTCCTTTTTTTCATCTCTCCTTTTATCCCTGGAGGATTAAAGTGTTTCTCACACTGTTTTTTGTTAGCAAAATTGGAGAGAAGTGTCTGCCAGTGTTTGAGTTTGCTAATCCAAACAAATAAAGAAAACCTCTTACCTTTTTTTATTCAAGGTTGTTTTATCATAGAATCATAGAAAATTAGAGTTGGAAGGGACCTCAGGAGGTCATCTAGTCCAACCCCCAGCTCAAAGCAGGATCATCCCCATCTATATTATCGCAGCCAAGGCTTTGTCTAGCCAGGTCCTAAAAACCTCCAAGGATGGAGAGACCACAACTGCTCTGGATAAGCTGTTCCAGTGCTTTACTACCCTCCTGGTGAGGGAGTTTTGCTTAATATCTAACCTAAATTCCATTGCTGCAACTTGAGGCCATTGTTCTTTATTGTGTCATCTGACACCACTGAGCACACTCTAGCTCCATCCTCTTTGGAACCAAGAGGTTGAAGGCTGCTATCAAATCCCCTCTCAGTCTTCACTTCTTCAGACTAAATAAAGCCCAGTTCCCTCCACCTTTCCTCAGAAGTCATGTGCCCCTGACCCCTAATAATTTTCATTGCCCTCCACTGGACTCTCCAATTCATCCTTTCTGTAGTGGGGGGCCCAAAGCTGGAAACAGTACTCCAGTTGTGGCCTAACCAGTGCAGAATAGAGGAAGAATCGCTTCCCCCGCCCAGTCTGCTGGCAGTGCTCCTAATATGCAGGCCAGTATGCCGTTAGCCTTCTTCATAACAAGGGCACACTGCTGGCTCATATTTAGCTTGTTGTGTACTGTAACCCTCAGGTCCTTTTGTGGAGAGCTGCTGCTTAGCCAGTCAGTTACCAGCCTGTACCGGTGAATGGGATTGTTCTGTCTTAAGTGCAGGGCTTTGTACTTGTCCTTACTGAACTCATGAGATTTCTTTTGGTTCAGTCCTCCAATTTGTCAAGGTCTCTCTGAATCCTAGCCCTACCCTTCAGCATATCTACTACTTCCCCCAGCTTGGTATCATCAGCAAACTTGCTGTGGGTGCAGTCTTCCAGATGGCTGGTAAAGATAATGGATAAAACCAGCCCCAGGACCAACCCCTGGGGCACTCCACTTGACACAGAGTGCCAATTAGACATCAAGCCATTGATTACTACCCTTTGAGCCTGATGATCCAGCCATTTTACTATCCACCCTGCAGTTCATTCATCCAACCCAGACTTCCTTAGCTTGCTGGTGAGAATGTTGAGAGAGACCATGTCAAAATCCTTGCTAAAGTCAAGGTATATCATGTCCATTGCTCTTTCCCACATCCACAGAGCCAATCATATCATTGTGAAAGGCAATCAGGTTGGCCAGGCATGACTTTCCCTTGGTGAATTCATGCAGACTGTTCCTAATCACCACCTTCTTCTCCAAGTGCTTAGGAATCTAAGCACTTGGAAAAGAAGACCTTGTGGCCTGCTCAATGATTTTCCCAGAGACTGAGGAGAAGCTGACTGGTCTCTAGTTTCCCAGATGCTCCTTCTTCTCTTTTTTAAAGATGGACACTATATTTGCCTTTTTCCAATTATCCAGGACCTCTCCCAATCACCATGAATTTTCAGAGATAATAGCCAGCAGCTCTGAAATCAAATCAGCCAGCAGCCTCTGCACTCTTGGTTGCATTGTATCTGGCCCCATGGACTTTTATACATCCAGCTTTTCTAAATACTCCCTAATCTATTCTTTGGTCACTGTTGGCTGCTCACCTGCTCCCCAAATTGTGCTGCCATGTGCAATAGTCTGGAAGCTGACCTTGCCTGTGAAGACTAAGGTGAAAAAGGCATTGAGTACTTCAGTATTTTCTGCATCCTCTGTCACTAGGTTGCCTTCCCCCATTCAGTAAGGGACCCACACTTTCCCTGTTCTTCCTCTTGTTGCTGACATACTTGTAGAATTCCTTCTTGTTACCCTTCACATCCCTTGCTAGCTACAACTTCACTTGCTCTTTGGTCTTCCTGATTTCATCCCTGTGTGCTTCTTTCTAGCCATTTGTCCAAGTTTCCACTTGTAAGCTTCCATTTGTTTGTTAGCTCCCTGAATAGTTCCCTGCTAAACCAAGCTGGTCTTCTGCCATACTTGCTAGTCTTCCTACACATCGGGATGGTTTGTTCCTGTGCTGTCAGCAAGGTTTCTTTAAAATACAACCAGGTCTCCTAAACTGCTTTCCCCCTCAGATGGGCCATCGGTGAGTCCAAATTGCTTTGCTGAAGTCCAGGGTCCATATGTTGTCCTTCCTTCCCTCAGGATCATAAAGTGAATCATCTCAGGGTCACTGCTGCCCATGTTCCCACTCACTACTGCATTCCCCACCAATTCTTCTCTGTTTGTGAGCAGCAGGCAAGAAGAGCCGCTAGTTGGCCTCCAACAGTTGCACCAAGAAGTTGTCCCCATTGCTCTCCAAAAACTTCCTGGATTGCTTGTGCACTGCTGTATTGCCCTCCCAGCAGATATCAGGGTGATTGCAGTCCCCCATTAGAACCAGGGCCTGTGCATGGGACATGTGCATTCACCTGGTCTGTTGGTTTGTAGCACACACTCACCACAGCATCACCTTTGTTGCTCTACCCTGTCTCCAGTTTCATATTGGAGCTCTGAGCAATCATATAGCTCTTTTACATGAAGCGCAACTCCTCTTCCTCTGCCCTGCTTGTCCTTCCAGAACAGTTTATATCCATTTGTGATACTGTTCCAGTTGTGCGAGCTGTTCCACCAAGTCTGTTATTCCAATGTTATGTTTAATGAGAAGGATAAAACTCATGGACAGATCTAGGGCTTTGGAAAAGGGAATGCAGATGTTGTGGTGCATCATCCCATGACACAAGATCTATTTTTCTCCAGTTAAAAAGAATCTAGAAGCTTTACTGATGTGCTAGGGGCCTAGAGACCTATATTCAGTTTATGATGCAAACAAAATTGGGAGAGGAATTGCTATCTTCAGGATAGGACAGGCACCTGGTGTCAGTTGCTACCCACCGTCTGGCCATGGATGGACCTGCTTCCTGCATCCCTACATGTGGGTCCCTCAAACACTCCCTCATGGCCCCAGAGTGCCCCTTATAGATTATCCCTACCATCTCAGATGCCCCCTGGCTTAACTCTGTCTACTGTTATCCCACAGACACTGTGATCAGCACCATCCCATTGTGCCCCAATCCCTGTCAGATACCCTGGCACCCCACTGAGTCCTACCCTGCCCCCTCATCACCCCCACCCAGCACAGACTCATCCCCATCATGCCTCAGCCCCCAGACCATTGACCATCTTCCTCACATCCCACTGAGCCTTCTCCTGACCCTGGAGAGTACAAGTTAATCCATAAACAGACAAAACTTTCTTGAATACCTTTGAAAAGAAAACTTAACTAGAAAATGGATGATGCTCTCCTTTCAGACCTCACTGTAAACCATCATAAACCTTGGAGGCCTCCCTCCTACACAATTGTTTTTGCTCCCAAACTCTATCTGCCCTTCACACCTCTCTGCCCCCATAATGCCCTAGTACCTCCTCAATCCCCACCCCTCTATTGTCTAAGCTCCCCTTCTCTTCAACATTTCCTTTTCTGCACAGACCCCTTTCCCTACAGCATGCCCCCAGCTGGCCTTCATCCTCAACATACACAAACAGTTGAGGTTAGGGGAGGACTTGCTTCAGCCACTAGCAACTCCCTTAACTGGGGAGTCCAGCCCCTCTGGGTCTGCGCAAGCCTGGCTTTATGCCAACCTGATTGTATTACTAGGTTAACCTCACACAGCCTTATCATCTGTTGCAATGAATAACCCAAAAAAGGGTGACTGTAATAACATTTCTTTGCTTTACTTTTGCAACTCCCTCCTGCCTCTGACTACTGTGCTGCTCCACAGCTCAGCCTGCTTTTAGTCCTGCCCCACCCCTCCTTGTCTGTGATATGTTGTAGGTTCAAATCCCTTAGAAACAAACCACCAACTACAGGTTCCTAGATAGCAGCACACTTTTATTGGGTGTACTGGGTGGTGAGATGAGAAATATTACTGGGAATAGATAACAGACTGGGTAATTGTAAAAGAAAGGCTAGCTTAGAGGAGAAGATCAAGGGTTTTAACACCTATGAAGTAGAGATATTAGCAGAAATCAAGTGGATAATAATGAGCCATGAAGTCAGTTGACTTTCTTAGCTCCACCTCAGTAGAAAAGTGGCTCTCCCTGCTGGCCAATTTTTTTGAACTTTCAGTGGAGCAGGAATCAAAGTGGAGTAGGAGTGCACCCCAGATCCCCTGATGAAACTAGGTACTGTTTTCATTTAAAATTGAATAATCATACAAACCTCCAGATCAGGAGCTGTGATACTCAAACCTTAAAATATTGGTCTTAGCCACTAGGGATAGGGAACTTTGAGCTATATTACATTTTATATTGGCTCATCTGCTTCTTTTAAGTCAGATATACAGAACCTTTGGTTATCAGTTGGATAGCGTAATTGTGAGAGCTGCAGTTTACTGTGGGCATCATTCTAAATTAGTTATTTAAAACATTAATTTATTTTGCAAATTCAGAATTATCTGCACTATGCATATAGAAGCTTCTCTAATATGATCAATATTCTTTCCTTACAGCCTGAAACTGCGATCCCTTCGAGTAAATGTTGGACATTTGTTGGCTACAATTATGCCTGATCTAGATTTAAAGGAAGTAAATTATGATGTGGATGTAGTTGATGAAATCTTAGGACAAGTTGTAGAACAAATGCATGAAATCAGCAGTACTTAGTATCGGACTTAGTAGACGTTTGCTCAGCCTCTACTATATTGTACAGTAAATACTGTAAATATTGTTTTCATTTTATGTTTGAGTAATTTAGATATATTATGTGCCACAAACCCAATGTAAAATGTATATATTCTATGCACTCGAATGTTCTCACAGATATGGCAGGTACTTTACTGTGTAACTTTAACTTTATTTTTAAAGGAACACTGGCAGTGTTGAGCAACCCCAGACATACTTAAATTTAAATGTTTTTGTTTTAAAATGTAAATGTATTTGTAATTAAATCTGCAGATATTTTTATTACTTCTTTGGAATCGCAATCATTTTGTACAAAGTTTTTCAGCTTTCTTTTGATTTTGTACTTCTCATTGATCATTAAATTTGTTTGTTCCTGCACAATGAAGACAGTGGCATTAAA